AGCCTTAAGTAAACATCTCTCTGAACATGTTAGAAAAGGAATCTGGAGCTTAAGCAAGACAAAACAAAACACTGAATTCCTGCTCAATTCTTCCAGGTTTGCAAATAATAAAGCACAGCTTCCACTCAGATTTGCCTCATTTCTATATATCTCAAACCTCCAATTCAGATAGATAGAGAGTGATCACTGTTGTGGGCGTAAGTCAAACTTTTTCTACATAAGAGATGCTCATTCCAGAATGTTAGGGAAGCTCACGGCATGCATCTTACTGAATGCACATCCCCTTGGCATTTTTGGTGGCCCCTGTCTTTCAGCTTTCGGTGCCTGTCCAAAGAAGGATCAAAACTTCAGTGTGCACAAGAGCATTTACCAACTGGATGGCAATATTTATCCTAAGCAAAGTTTTGTTCAGTCCAGAAGGCAGGATGGGATAAAACAGCACAACGGATTAATTTAAAGATTTTTAGGGGATGGCAGGTTTTCCCTTAAAACGTGAGATTACAGAGACCGTTTTCCCCCCTTTTGATTTCACTATGCTGGAGGTGTTCATGCCACATGTGAAGCCTTTGTTTTGCTTCCCCATGATTTATGCAGTGTATTGAATAAGCCACAGTTGGTTGTAGCTTCAAGGATGGGGTGAACCTGATCACAATAGGACTTCCCAAAGGCATTCAGTAGAGCAGCTGAACAGTCAACGTGTCCTTTAATGAACATCTGCTATCCCTGCCTTAAACTTCACTAATTCCTCCTCTAACCCTCTACATTTATAAGGAACAAGCAGTCCTATTTTAAAAAGGATAATATTCCCCCAGCTAGCATTGATAAATGTCATTTCCCCACCTGATCACTTTAGTTTACACTAGAGCAACCCTCCTGGAGCTGAGGGAAAAGCCACCTAGTCCTGCAGTGGGGTTCATCATCATCATAATTTATTAAATGTATAGGCCACCCAACTCCCAGCAACTCTGGGTGGTTTACAATGGTTAAAAAACATTAAGAACAAAAACCAATACAAAAACACAAAAAACAGGACAGGACAACATGACAATGGCAAAGAAAACAAATCTGGAAGGGTACAAAAAAGAAGAAAGATGTGGGGAGGTGAGAACATGAACAAAGCGGAGTGGCCAGCTGTTTCTGGGAAGCTGAGCAGAAGGCTTCACCACAGCTGTCTTCACCATGGTTAAGTTCTACATATTTAAAGTAATGCTGTTCTTGCTGCTTAGGCAACTTCCTAGGGAGAGCTACCCTTTTTCATGAACTTTTGTTCCTAGGTCTTGTAGAAAGGAGTGTCACAGGTTTATCACATGCAGGGCGGCAAAGGACTTCTGCTTCTGAAATCTGTTTTGCGCCCAGTTCTGGCTTTCTGAAGGAGGGGGAGAAGAATGTTCTCTGTCCATCAGCTTGTTCTCAGCCCAGCCCACCCCATTTGTTTTCTTGTTCCTGTTATGCAAGAATGAAAGTGAGCCCTAATGCAAGGCTTTGCAGATTTCTCTGCCCTGGACTATGACTGCAATGATGGGGTATCAGCCTTTTGAGATAGACCAGGTCAAGAAGCACCACAGGTCTTCCAGGAAGGCAACTTTATTGTTCCAGAGTATATGAACAGAATCTTAAAAAATTGTCCAAAATCTTCATTGTCCCTTTTAAGGACAGCAAGGTCAAGGCTGCGTTTTTCTGACTCTCTTTCTCACTCTTTCTACTTCCCTGGAGCTGAGTAACTCTTTCCCTTCTCCCACCTCCTTCTCAAGGCCAGAGATAAATTCCTCTATGTGGAACAAGGTTGGAATTATACCATACCTGGGCAGGGGTGGGAGGGGGAGAAAAAGTGTCAGTCTGCCTCATTTCTTAATGCATTCTACCCTGCCATCTGCTGGTCCTGGCATGTATTTACTCAGATATATCTGTAAGGAGGGGAAATTGCAGCTGGTTTGCAAAGCTCACTCAAATTCTTGTTGCACATGTCCCAGTAAGAACAAGCCATTTTTACTCTGCCATTGATTTTCATATATTTCACCAACTGTGCAGATTTTAATCTCCAAGCCTGCATCTCCATGGTATATC